AGGAGTTGTAACAGATGATATGGCCTACAAAACCTAAAATATTTACTACCTGGTCCTTTAGACAAAATTCACCAGTTCCCACTTTACACCTAAAATCGAAATTCCCAAGTAACTTTTACAAGTTAATGGTGGTGGGTGTTAAGTCTTCCAAAACTCTTTAATTCTCACTTAAAAGCACAAGCGTAATATTGGCAACACTGTCAGTTGTCTTTGCAATGACAAGTTCTCTTGTGGGCTGTGTCTATGATTATGGATGTATCAGAAAATTTTAAAACATTAGTTCAAAAAGAAACCCAATGCTTTTAACAACATACATTTAGTGAAAAGTAACAAAAGAACAAAAAAAATGAGGCAGTTTCATGGTTTTTGCAAATCTCTTTATTGTCTTGACAGAAGACAGTCTTGCACCTGCTTTAGTATTCAGTATGTTGCAGAACATTATTTCGGTTAAAGCGTACGAAGAAAATCTGGCCTCAGAGGTATATAGTTGGAAAAGGGAAAAATAATTTAATAGCCTCTTCAGATAACTGTGTATGTTCTTCGATACTATACCCAATCTTGACAAATAATTTCTTAAAGGTTACTTGCAATGTGAAACCTAACACTGAATCAATGATGTTTTCATACTATTAAATTAAAACCCACTGATCATTTAGAAAATATTGGCTAAGCCATGAAGATCTTCCAAATGTCAACACATTTCATTCTACAATATTTAAAAAGTCACATTTATTACCATCACTGATCTCTTCAGAAGTCTTCACTGTGAAACTGTCAAGCTAGTGGTAGCAGATACTAGTTTTCCAATTTTCAGTTTTCACTTGAAAGCTCAAATTTTATCACTACCAACAAATGCTGTCAATTGTTTTCCTTGAAGTGACAGGCTCATTTTATTCACTTGTGAGAAGATGTTGACCTCAAACCAAGTTTGAAAAACCAGTCAGTTCTTTCAAGTAAAAATGGTGTTCCACGAAAAGCAGTGGCCAGTTTAGTTTGTAACGGAAATAATCACTCAAGTATTTTTCCTTGAGACAACTGTACTTCCCAAGATGTACAGAAGTGCTTTATGTAGCACTTCCTACTTTGTCACATGAAATACTAAAAAGATGTGTACTCTGCCCTGGCCAGGGTGGCTCAGTTAAGCAGAGTCCTGCGCACCAGAGTCACTGGTTTGATTCCTGGTCAGGGCACAGGCCCAGGTTGCAGGTTTGGTCCTCAATGGATGTTCCTGCCCCCACCCCCCCAAGTCAATAAAAACAGCCCTGGCCAGTGTGGCTCAGTTGGTTGAGCATCAGCCAATGCACCTAGAGGGTGCAGGTTTCATTTCTGGTCAGGGTGCATGCCCATGTTGTGGGCTCAATCCCCAGTAGGGGGCGTGCAGTAGGCAAGCTGATCCAGGTTTCTCTCCCTCCCCTTCCCCTCTCTAAAATCAGTAAACATATTTTTTTTAAAAAAGTGTACTCAAGGGCTAGATTCAATGAGATTAATTTTTATTGCTTGTCAGAAACAGTCTTAGGTAAAATTGATTTTTAAAAAAACTGAGTTTCTGTTTGCTTTAGGTAGATAATCTTTATCAAGTTAAGAAAATTCCAATTATTCTTAGATTTCTGATATTTAAAATCATAAACTATGTATTGGACTGTATCAAGTTTGCAAAAAATCCAATCAGTTCTATACCCGACAGTCCAGTGGATCAAATCAGCAATGGGACTTGACTCAGACTGTCCCCACTTTCTGATCTGCCATTATCAATGGGAGTTAAATGAAGCCTGGATTGGAACAGAAAAACACTGGCTTTTTATTTTTTCTTGATTAAACTCACATTTATTTTCAGCATGCCTGTATCTGTGACAAGCGAGCTTGAACTCTAACACTGGCTTTTTAAAAGTGAGCAAGTTGCCCAGAGGATAAATATCTACTTCACCTATGTATAAAATAAGGTCCGTTGAATGTGATTTTGGCAATTTGAGGTCATTCTGGACAACTGATTTGACATGAGAAAAATGTCATCTTCAGCACAGGTGTGTAACAAATTTACTCACCCAGAAAATGCAACCCCATATCTGAAGTCTGATTGAATGGATTTAACTGACTCAAATAACCAGAAACACAAAAATAAAAAACGTAAGTACACATTCCCCTCATATATCACATGTAATTTTTAAAAAATCAAATTTTCAGAAAAGAATCATCATAAAAAGTTTTAGTTTAAAATGTCATTACGTTTGAAAAGAATCAATTGCATACAGTGTTGCAAGTTATTTCATATTTTATTTTCTAATTGCAATTATTTTGCATCTGATTTTTTTTACATAATCCCACATGATGGAAAAGGAAACCTCCAAATCTAGTCAGTACTAATTAGCTTTCATGAATTTATAAATAAAAAGGATGTAAAAGGACTCATTAAAGACTTAAGAGTGAAATATGACCAGAGCTATCACTATTAATAACGACAAACTTTCTCTTAAAGAAATATAGAGCAATGGTATTTTGCAAAACATCTTCAAGCAATTTGGAGGCTTCCAACTGTCAGTCTTACACTGAGTTAAATGAGGGTGGTAGCAATTATTTTAAATAGTGTCGACAAGAATATACAAATATATATTCTACCTATACGTTTCTTTTATTATAGGAACCCAAAACTACAAGTAAAAGAAATGGTAAATAGGGAATATACGCCGTGCATATTCTATTTTACACAATCCTGGATATTGAGTGAGAAGCGGTGGACACTAATGTAAGTGCATTACATGTATGAACACAAACTTAATCCCCAACAATTCTGATTCTGCAGGTACTGTTCTCATCAGCCCCATCTTACAGGTGAGGAGCCTGAAGCTCAAACAAGCTGAAGGTACCTGTGGTCACCTGCAGGTAAAGGAAAGAGTGGGGTTTGGGACACAGGCCCATGCTCTTCACTCCCCACCACATTGCCTCCTAAGTACTGGCAGCGGGGCGGGACACAAACACAGACACACACAGACACACAGACACACAGTCCAACACACTCTCCAAATTCCTTGGTTCTCTATACCTGAGAGGCTAGTGTCTTAGCACACTTGTAGTAAGACTTAATTCAGATTGTGTACTTTTTTTCTGAATAAAAAGAAGAAAAGCCAGGATAAAAATGATGGTAGTTTAAGGTAAATCAAAAACACGAAGTGGTGTTTGAGAGCTCAAGGGAACTTCCCCTTGCCAAGCAGGATAAAGATCTAAACACCCCAGACCAATGCAAATCTTTTCTATCTTTATGACAGTCAGGTAACATCAAGAACCTCACTTTCATTCTGATACTTTAACAGTCAAGCCACAGTTAATACTGAATGTTGTTAAACCTGTACATAATACAAATAAAGTATAAATCCAGCTAGGTATTCTATTTGAAACATGCTTTTACCTAATTGATTACTCGGTTGCTTTTTAGTCAATACAGACAGCAATTTGTATCTATTAAAGATGTTATTCAACATCCTATAGTTTAATATTTACATATGATATGTGAGACTAAGTTAAACCACAAGTCACAAAGAGTCTTGTAAGCAACTATATTAATAGTCATGATACCAGAGATGTGGTGAGTAAACCAATGGCCATTTCTTAATAAAATACAATTTTCATCATGCATAGTTTACAGGCTCCTTAAAAGGGGGTCTCTTTAAGAGTCTGGATGTTCAAGGAAGATTCAACAGTCAAATAAATCTTGGCAAGTCTTTTTTCACACAAACACTTGGCTTGGCTATTCAGCCACTTTAGTAATACAACATATTTATACTCTAAGTGGAATAAATACTACATGAAAAATGCAAGCCTATCAAATTTGTTAGTAATAACTATTACACCTCTCAGCAGTAAGAACTATTATCCTTGGATTTCAAACATTTTATTTTCTTTCAGAGCACACTTTATACCATTGTATTTTAGGAATCAGGATAACCAAAAAACCCCTAAAACTTTTCTTAAGGACCACTTCCATTCCTCATTTGAGATATAATCAATCGATGAAACTACATTTCCATACTGAAGACAAGTTAGTAAAATAATTCCAAGTAGTGTTGATATGAGCCACAACTTTAGCCCAACTATTTTTAGATATTATGGTTTCAGATTTTCAAGGATGCAACAGCACTACATCGAGCTGTTACTACCAAGGCAAGAAAGAAAAAATCACTAGCAAATGCATGAATTGGGCCATTGTTGTAATTTCTAAGAATGTTAGATAAACCATACTTATTAGAGGAGTTAAGTAGAAAAACTAATGTTTGAGATACACCATCCCTACCATGAACTGTATCACAGACACAGAGTTAAAATGTCCTTGGTAAAATAACATGAATCTATATAAGGGTGGGCAAAAGCAGGTTTACAGTTGTGAGTACGTGAAAGTTTGTTCTTGTAATATTATTTCTTAATTATTGTATTATTTTCCATACGAACAACTGTAAACCTAGTTTTGCCCACCCCTATATATATATCTCAAATTTAGCAAAACATCTTCATTACAAAAGCCTAAATATCTTAGGAGGTTTAGACTACTGGGAAAGACAGTCACTATTGACAATTCTTAAAGGCTGGCTTCTTTTAAATATTAAAAACTAGCCCATAGGCTCAGATGCATTCTACCTAGGTAAGTGTTCAGGAATAGCAAATAAAAACCATGAACCCCAATTATCCACTCTTAATTTCTATTCTTTGATTCAAGTGTTTTATAGAACCTCAGATTTTGATTCCAGTGTTTACACATTTAGGACATCAAACTAAGCAAAGTTCTCTGGAGACCAGCAGAATAAAAGCTTCACATGCTACATGGTGGATCTCTTCTTTTAAAGTTGCATATGAATTCAATGTGGTTAGTTCGGTCTAACTAGTCTAGCCTTGAATTTCATTTTACTCCAGTTGATAACGAAAAACTAAATAAAAAAGGGTGAATCTAAATTCCTAATATCAAGGGGGGGAAAAAAATCTGTACACACAATAAAATACACCCTAAACACAAAGGGTATGATATACTGTGCAGCATGATATTGTCTTTATTATATTTCCCGACTGTAGCTCTTCCATTCATTACCTTTTCATTAAATTATTATTCACTCCTTTCCCCAGCTTAGGGATAGTTTGAAAAGGGCTTAATTTGTACAAGTTGCTATGAAATTAAATTTTCATTTATACATAAGTCATGTATTTATAAAGCTTTCAAAATTGTAGCTTACATGTATGACTTCTGAAGTAAAATGACACAACAATATTTTAGTTCTTTAAAAATATTCAACATACACACATATGATCAAAACAATCTTGGTTAGGAATTTTGTATGCACAGTAAGTGTAAAAAGTTTACAACTGAATCAGTATTTCCAATGTTAAGTAACTGAGTGTGCCACCTAGTGTTCAATTTCTGCAACTACTAACCTTACAAATTCAAAATTGCTATTAAAACCCAGGTTCTACTATCTGCATGCTGGAAAGGCTTTCTTGCTGATGTTTATCATGGCAAAATAAGGTCATGAAAAGAATGGATGCAATATCAAAATTAGTATAAAAATAGCCACACACTACTTAAATATGAAAAACAGACCTAATCATCTCTGACTTTAAATGCAGACTTCTGCCTCTCTTAAATTTTGTCAAAACCTCAAGGGTACATCTAGGTAACTGGAATACACAGAAAGTCACTGTACAGTTAACAGGCTAGTCAAAACTAGGGCTTAATCATAACCCATGAGTACAGGGCAAATGGTTTATCCAAAACATCCATTTATTTACTGGAAGTGGTCAAAGTAGGAAAGGTTTTTTTCCTTTTTTCAAAAATAGTAGATGTGCTCTTTTACCCATAAGCTCTATTACACCAAAAGAACAAAGTGGGCTTTACATTTCACTTAACTCAGCACTACCAGTTTTTAAAGAAACAACCTTAGAAACAAATCAGTCTGCTTTAACAAACCACACTCAAATTAACGAAAATTTTAATCTTCTTTTGTAGGCCACAGCCAAAATCCAAATGGTTGAACAATCCTCAGAGAAGTTGGAATGCAAAAATGTTGATGTCAATTTAGATCTGAAAGGGAAAAGAACGTCAGATCAAATGAAAAACGGATTCTTACACCACCACAGCAGCAGCAGCAGCAGCAGGGACACCTCCACGCCCTTGGGCTATCAGAAACAAAGCCAGCCTGGAAAGCAAATGCTACACACTGTGCTTTGCTCAATTCCGGTCTGCTGCCAGGAAATCTTTATAACCTCCTTCAGAATGCTACATGTTATACTGAATATTCTTAATAAAGTTTAGTGTCTCCTCCCTTCTGTGCTAGTGATTTTTTATTTTGGGGGTGGGAGCAGACAAGGGGAGCATTATTTCTTTAAGAAAGGAACAAGCATGATACTGACCAAATTCTCCTCCTCCTGGTCAAGCTGGTTATAGAATTGAAGACTAAAACACCTATAAACCATCTAGAGAAATGTCTCAGGGAAGAAGTAAGGTTCTCCGGTGATAAACAAAGCCACCCCCACAAGCGTTCAAGATAACTCCAATTCCCTTAATAACCACTGTCCTTATCATCTTTCCCCCGCCAGCCTGCTGGGCCCAGATACAAGGAAGCACTGGCAGAGATTCAGAAATTTTTTCCTTAGAAAACCTTTCTCCTGTCTAGATCCTCAACTATCACCTCTGTATGTGGCTTCCTATTCACGCATGTTCTCTGGTTAGGTTTTTAACTTCTAAAAAGGCCTTCTACCCCAGCTCAGCTGTCCAAATGTTTGGATCACCCCGTAACTGAACAGAAGGGCAATGAGGCATTTACTCTTGTGAGCACCACTGCTTTACTTTTAGGAAAAACAATACATTTTCCTCAAAATATACACACCAACTCTAAACCAAGAGTTTGCCAATAGTGCATACCCAGCAAATAACATCACATAACGGAAAAAGTCCTTGATTTTAACAAAGCTTCTAACGTATGTTGTAATTTCAATGCTTCTTATCAAGCTGGTTCAAACAGGATTCTTCTTTTAACATACTATTATTCAATTGAGAAGGTATGTTTTCTTTGGTAAGATCTTGTATTTCTTACAACTAAAGTTATTAAGAAAGATCTCTTTAGACACACTTTTCTTGGCTTGTTTTATTTATTTAAACTTTATTTTTATTGTTGACACTATTACAGATGGCCCCATTTCTTCCCACCGTCTTGCTCACCTCCGCCCAGCCCCCGCCCCCCTTCCCTCTGCCCATCACCACCCTATTGTCTGTGCCTATGGGTTATGTGTGTATGTTCTTTGGCTAATCCCTTCACCCTCTTTCATCCAGC